GGTTCAATAAAGTTGACATATCATAACCATTAAGGTATATTCTCCTAAACCTAAGAGTCCTGGATTCAAATATTACTGGGGGCATCATGGTCATGTGTCCTCATTATGTTGCCTGACTGCTGGTTGAACTTTCAGAAACAGGCTTAATTATGTGTTTAAATAAACTACTAAATCTCTTCACAGCTCTCTTCATTTCAATTGCACTTCAAATCTCAATCAATCCTCAGCATAGTGAATTTATACAAGAGCGATCAGTAATCACATGTGTCGCCAATTTCATGTTGGGACAAATTTTGTGACAGACGGACAGACAGACGGACAGTGCACAACTAGACTAACAACTTTGTACTGATCATCCCTGTAAAGTTTGGATAAAATTGCACCAGTAGTTTATGAGGAGTAGTCCGGACAAGCTTTTTTGTGTATCTGGCAACACACAGAAAAAGAAACCTTTTTATCAAAGGGCCATAACTCAGCCAAAAAATCATTCAACCGGAAAACCCGTGCAATATGCGCAAGGACTTGAGCTACAGATCAATCCTGAAAATAAGTTTCATTGAAATTGCATTAGTGGTATAAGAGAAGTAGTGTGGACAAACTTTAAAAATAAAAATTATAAAAGGGCCATAACTCAAACAAAAATCATTGAACCGGAAAATGCTGACAACATGCACAACAAGACTTGGTACTGATCATTCCTGTAAAGTTTGGATGAAATTGCACCAGTAGTTTATGAGGAGTAGTCCGGACAAGCTTTTGTGTATCTGGCAACACACAGAAAAAGAAACCTTTTTATCAAAGGGCCATAACTCAGCCAAAAATCATTCAACCGGAAAACCCGTGCAATATGCGCAAGGACTTGAGCTACAGATCAATCCTGTAAAGTTTCATTGAAATTGCATTAGTGGTATAAGAGAAGTAGTCCGGACAAACTTTAAAATTAAAAATTATTAAAGGGCCATAACTGTGACAAAAATCATTGAACCGGAAAATCCTGACAATATGCACAACTAGACTTGGTACTGATCATTCCTGTAAAGTTTGGATGAAATTGCACCAGTAGTTTATGAGGAGTAGTCCGGACAAGTTTTGTGACGGACGGACGGACAGACGGACAGACAGACGACGGAGAAGTGATCCCTATATGTCGCCACTACTCCGTAGAGGCGACACAAAAATGGACTTGTTAATATTATAAAAAAAAAGAACTGTCTGTTGTTAATGTTATGTCTTTGGATATCAAAACACTAAAAACAAGCAATAATCATAGTATTGCAAGCAATCCATAAGTCCCTTAATGGTTAGAACCCCGGCAACATTCTGAAGGGCCATTGGCCATTCACTTATGTCTCTATTTTAAGTAAATTTGTTGAAAAAGTTCTTTAAAAGTGATCACAGAAAACAGTTTTTATGTACAAACAGACAGATGGACTGAAGGACACTCTAAAATTATTTTTTAAACATTCCTGTTATCAAAATATAACATTTTAAAAGCAAAAGTCTTAAAAAGGAGATTACACTTGAAAAAAAAGATGCAAGACGTCATACACGATGTGTGACAAATAACAATTAATAATGAAGGTGTTCATAATTAATGTTTATTTTGAATTTGAAATATTAAAGAAAGTTAAAAACAATATTTTTTTCATGAAAATTCTAAGTTCAAGGGAGGAAATTCTGATAAATTTTGTGCTAGAGTTGTAAATCTTGTCACATATGATGTGGTTGATGACTAGAAACTTATATTTAAATTTTGGAGAAAATACCTTAAGCAATAAAAAACTTATAGTGAAAAAACATAAAAACTAGAATCAGAAATCTTGAAATTCAGTCTGTTGCCATAGCAACCAGAATTTTCAACATAGGAAGAAAAAAAGATGTGCATAAATTCTAGACTGCCATCTACCCATACTTCAAGTTTCATAAAAATATTATCAGTATTTTTTGCCTTATCACTGTATCCAGTTTATGTGAAAATTTTGCCATATTTTCAGTCTATTTGTTGCCATAGCAACCAGAATTTTCAACATAGTAAGAAAAGAAAAAAACGTGCATAGTCTCCATACTGTCATCTATCCATATATCAAGTTTCATAAAAATATTTTCAGTACTTTTTGCGTTATCACGGGATCCAGTTTTGTGGACGGACAGACAGACAGATGGACAGAGGGTAAACCTAAAGTCCCCTCCGGTAAACCGGTAGGGGACTAATAAGCATACTCATAGTGCAGGATGCCATGTCTTTCTACTGATGGCATATACAAGGCCTAGCATTAAAAAATTTCCATCTAATCTTCACTAATTCCCTTGTGGTGAAGGAACATAGCAGGGCACAGCTAATTCAACACAAAGCAATCACTACAGTAAAACCTCAACCAAATAAGTCCAACATCTCATTCAGATGAAATTCTTCATGCAATATAATTATGTAGATGTACTATGTGTAGTTACAGGCTATCAGGAAGACAGACCAACACTTACAAACATGAGTAGCCTCCAGTAAGGTCGCAACACTTGTCTCTTACATTTCCTCAGTGTTGTTGTTGTTAAATTAATACTCTCTTCACCATCTATATCAGCTATCTAAAGTCATTTTAATATAAGTATCAATATTAAATACTGCAGGAATAATCTTGTGATTTGGCTATTATGCATATTAACATTATTACGTAATATCAAGGTCAGGATAGTAACTTAAAAAAAATCCAGGACCCATGTCTGCTATAGACAGGCATTATCCAATATGTATAATAATTCAACTAAATCAATCAAGTCCCCAAGTATAGCACTCCAAAAAAAAATAAGGATTGATGACCTAAAAATCAAATGTTAATAAACTTCAAGAGATACTAATTTTATGTGGAAATCTGATGTGTGAATATTCATTACAAAATATTTGTAATGCACACAATAACATACAATAAAGCTCGGCTAAAGGGTCAATGACCTTCAAACAATGGATAGAAACATTAGATGTTTCAGTCACTTTGTAATACTGTACATTGTACTAGTTAAAGATAACAGTTTTAGGTCAGTGGCTGTTAAACACAGTTCTTATTCAGTGTAACATTTGTTTATTAATGAAATAAAATAACAAGAGCTGTCAGTAGGACAGCAACTCTCGACTATTCTTAGTGCTTGATAGTAAAAAAAATGCTTGATACAATTACCTCCTCCTGTTTACAGGTTGGGGTCATGATGGTGAACAAGTGTGCAAAGTTTCAAAGTCATATGTCAATGAACTTTGAAAATATTTGAACTATTACAAAAACTTTAACAAAAATTCTAAGTCAAAAAAGGGGCATAATTCTGTCAAAATGCTTGATAGAGTTAACTCCTCCTGTTTACAGATTGGGGTCATGATGTTGAACAAGTGTGCAAAGTTTCAAAGCCATATGTCAATGGACTTTGAAATATTTGAACTATTACAAAAACTTTAATGTAAATTCTAAGTCGAAAAGGGGCATAATTCTGTCAAAATGCTTGATAGAGTTACCTCCTCCTGTTTACAGGTTGGGGTCATGATGTTGAACAAGTGTGCAAAGTTTCAAAGCCATATGTCAATGGACTTTGAAAAATATTTGAACTATTACAAAAACTTTAATGTAATTTCTAAGTCGAAAAAGGGGCATAATTCTGTCAAAATGCTTGATAGAGTTACCTCCTCCTGTCTACAGGTTGGGGTCATGATGGTGAACAAGTGTTGCAAAGTTTCAAAGCCATATGTCAATGGACTTTGAAAAATATTTGAACTATTACAACAAGAGCTGTCAGAAGGACAGCGCGCTCGACTTTTTTAGTGCTTGCCTATAAAACAAAACTTTGACAGTTAAGGGCACACAAGACTTTAACTAGGAATTTCTAAGTACAAATCAAGAAACATTTTCACAGAGTTATCTTCTCTTGCTTACAGATAGGTCTCATGATGGCACATAAGAACTCCAACTTCCAAAGTAATATCTCAAATGGTTAAGTCAACAAGTGGACAAGAATGAAAATCTTAACTGAGTTTCTAAGTCAAAAAGGGCCATAATTCAAATAAAATCCTTAACAGAATTACCTTCTCCTGCCCATGTTTTGGGACCATGATGGTAAACAAGTATTCCAACTTTCAAATTAATATCTCAAACAGTTCAGTCAAAAAGTGGACTGGTACTAAAAACTTAACCAAGATTCTAAGTCGATAAAAGGCCTTAATTTTTAAAACAAATCCTTGACAGAGTTACCTTCTCTTGCGTACAGATGGGGGTAATGATGTGAAATAGCATTAAAAGTTTCAAAGCAATATCTCAAAGGGTTAAGGCAATAAGTGGATTTTACCCATATTCAATGTATTTTCTAAGTCAAAAAGGGGCATAATTCTGTCAAAAACCTTGACAGAGTTATGTCCTCTTGTCTGTTGATGAAGGTCGTGATGGTAAACAAGTATGGTCAGTTTCAAAGCAATACCTCCAATGGTTTTGAAATAAAGTGAGGTGGTACAAAAAACTTAACCAAGCTCAATACACTTTCTAAGTCAAAAAAGGGCCATAATTCTGTCAAAAACCTTGACAGAGTTATGTACTCTTGTCTGTAGATGGAGGTTATGATGGTGAACAAGTATGGTAAGTTTCAAAGCCATACTTGTAATACTTCTGAAATAAAGTGGGGTGGTACGAAAAACTTAACCAAGGTGTGACGCCAAACGCCGACGCTAACGCTGGACGCCGACGCCGACGCCGGGGCGAGTAGGATAGCTCCCCTTTTCATAGAATGCGGACCGCCGACGCTCGAGCTAGCTCTACTTCTTTCTTAAACGTTAATAGTCGAGCTAAAAATGCAACATTTTTCCTTATATAAATTTTCAGAGAAAACTACCAACTTTATGAAGGCAGTTTTGGTTTCTTTCTTTTTCTAATAATAAAATTTTTGAAAATTCTGTAAATTTTAAAAAGGGAATGTAGATCCGGGCCCCCTCTTTTTTTGACCAGATAAGATCAATAAAGAAAAATTTAACAACGTATTTTTTAAAAAAAAGATTAAAATTTTGGTTAAATCTAAATTGGGTTTTTCAAAGGGAAAAGGGCAGAGTAGGGATCTAAACCTTAGTTAAAGGGTGGAGATGCTTGGGATGGAACAAATTAAAATTTTCTAATATTTTGTTATTCTCCCTAAAAAGATGTATGTTTTTGTCGTGATTGAAAAAGGGCAAGTACAGTTAGTATGGTAAGGGTTAAACACAATTTGAAAGAATTTAGCATGGACAATAAAGTGAAGATACTGCCCTTCAAACAAGAGATCGAGGCTTTTACCGGACAGTTTCTTATATGACATAAATTCTTGAATATCAAAAACTGTAAGAGGCTTGTTGGTATAAGCTCTAGTCTTTTTTTAATCAATAACTATGTCTAAATTTTATATAATCATTTAGAGTGATTAATGTTACAAGATATACTATTACATACCTCAACTTTCAAGGTAGACGCTGTTGATTTGTTTGAGAAACTAGACGCTGACACAGAATGTGACAATGTCAAATTGCTGGCATGTTGGAGTTCTTGTTCCTGGCTTGATTCCATCTCTAACTTCACCGCACCATGTGACTGCACGTTATTGGTCGAGCACTTTGTCATGATAAAATGTCCATCATCATCCTTGTCCCGTTCTGAATTTTCTGACTGGTACCCAGAATTCACCACACCATCAGTGCTAGACATGTCATCCTAAAATAAATTAATGCTAATATGCAGGTCAAAAATTTGTAAATGAGAAATGGCAACATTTCAAAGGAAAAATTGACATTTTTATGATTTTTGTTTTTCAATGATGTCCCATAAGAACTTCACACATCAATTACTGTTCATTATGCTATTCATTTTTTTAATAAAAATATAAATTAAATTTTATTTTCCCCCAAAGACATTGTTAGTTATTCACCTAAACACAGCCATTATTATTTGTGGATTTTTTTCAGACACTAGTCACAGGTTTATGGCACAATAGCAGGTTAGTAAATATATTGTAGATCAACTTCATCAAGACCTCTCGACATTAAAAGCAAAAACAAAACAAAAATATGTTGTTGAATAAAATCATTCAAAACATAACATCTCTAAAATATCACAAATCAAGAAAAAAATAATGAACTTACTGGACATCTATAAAAGCATACTATATATTATACATGGTGAAATATGGTTTGTTTTTTCGCACTGTACACATTATGTATTCTATGAAAAATCTTGCTTTAATGAACAGTTTGACACATAAAAATATCTATATAGCAGATAAAAAATTTCCAACAGAAGTGTCAGTGTACATAATTATAATATATTTGCCTTGTGAGTAAGGACAGTAATAAAAATTTAAGGAATATATTATATGTAACATATTATACTTTCTTTTTCCATGTTATGTACATGTATATAAAATATTAAAAACTTATAATACAACCAAAAACTTTTACTGAAGAAAAACAACATATCTAAGAAAACAATTATTTTCCCAATGTCAATCCATAAATTTGATAAAACAATAATAAATATGATAAAAATCAATTAAAAAACAAATAATTTCATATATATACCCATCTTATTGTTGACAAATACATAGATCTGGATAGTGCTTTGTGTGGGCGAAGTATACCCATCATGTATTTAAAAAAAAAAAATCAACACTAACCAAAACTCCCATCCACTTGTAATTAGGCTAAGCTAATTTCCTATTGTCTTGATTGTACCTCTTGAAAGTCACAAAGACATCCCAAATTTTCCCATGATTACGTTTGAACCAGTGCCAAGTTCAAGACAGTTTTTTGTCACTTCCTTTCTCAGTTTTTAGTTGTCAAAGTATCTTAAAATGCACAATATCAAAAGGTATCATGCAATAACTGCTTTCTTCTTCTATTCTCACAAATATATCCTAAATGAATGTTTATTCTTTATTGTCTTTTGTTAACGTGATTTTTTTAAACTCTGTATCGTTCAATACCATTTGTTACACATACTGAATTATCTTGGGATACTGGAGGGTAATGTACTAAGTTTCAATGTACGTATTTGAGATATAATTATCTACATACAATGTCAAGGTCAAATTTTACACACTTTAATTAGATAAAAACTTACCATTAACTGAGTGCCTGATAAAGTGATCACACTAATTAGATATTAAACCTTTAGACATTAGTATTTTCATGACATACATAAGTGACACAGATGTACATTACTTAAGTAGACATATATATCTAAATGATAATAATTGTCTCAAATTTGGGACATGAAAAAAAAACAACAGGTGAACAATCATAATTCTTTATTAAATACAACTGATTTACTAGGAACTTTTTTTTTACAATTTACTTTAAAATTTGACCAACCAAAAAACATACTTAAACAAAGTTAATTTACCTTATAATTTTCTTCATCAATTTTTGATATTATATTTTCCAAATTAAAAAGAGAATAATGGAGCTTTACTTTGATTGTTAGATGTTGGACATGTGAACAAAACATTAGTATGTGCAGCTATGATCTATAATAAAATCAAACATAGAATCTAAGAGTTGTAGCCCTATATATCTAAATGGGGAGAAAAGACCCTTCTAAATTGGGGGGAAATTGCAACATTTTGGGAACTTTGAGAAATTTTAAAAGTTACTTATACCGTTTAAAGCATGCTTATTTTCATGATAATTTCTAAAATGTACTAAAAACTAAAATATTATGAAATGAACGAAAATAATTTACAAATAGCAAACAGCACTTAAAATAAAAAAAAAAATGTTTTAAAGTTGGGAGGTTATTTTTATTTGGAAAAATGGTGTTTAGAACTAAGAATTTCTGACCTAGCAATTTCAATAGTCCAGAGTAAGAAAGGAGACTGTTGACAAAACTATGATCAGTGAAACACTGATAATAGATTAGTTTATCAATTTGGTTTGGTAACTGAGGTTAACCACACTTTACCTTACTGTTACACTGATTTGAACATCAGGCCATCCTTAAAAAAATGTTTGTTTGCAGTAACGCGACCGACTCACAAAATTTGCCCCAACTCAATTTTTTTTTTCATGGTCTGGATAAAAAAAATTTTTTTTTTTTAATCAGAAAATTATGCCTTCTGCTTTGGTTTTCGATCTTTTAAAGGTTAATAGAAGAAATAAAATGTAGTTCTTATTAAAATTAGAATTCAGTTATCAATTTATTAATTGTTACCCAGATTATCAAAAGCATATATTGTCCAGCATTTTTGAAATTCATGTTTATTTGGGAGTACAGTTCAATAAAAAAAAAAAAATAATAATAAATCGACCTACCTACCCACCTTGAAAATTCTGGGTCGGGTTACTGCAAACAAACATTTTTTTAAGGACGGCCTCATGGCCAAAACGGACATTCAAGTTTGATAGAAACATTAAATAAACAGAATTATAAATACAAGACGGCCATAATTAGGGCTTGCATCTTGCAACAGTAAAAACAAAAATATGTACTTACACCAGCTTTTTTACTTCCAAAAATTGAAAATTAGCAATTTTACCAACAATTTTTCCAAAAGTCAAGTGGCTAAGGTATTTTCCCAATTAAAAGAGAAAAACCACTCATATAGACCTTCAACACATTATCAAAATGTCATCTTTGTGATTACAAACACAACTACAGAAGCTAATGCAATAGATCAATGCATCCAAAGTTATAATTGGCAAGATATTAAATAACAATGATGAATATAAATATTGGAGAAACACTTTAAAAGTCTAATCTCAAAGTCAGAGAAAAATTACTTGTGGCACAGAAACTATAAAAAAAAATATTTTATAAACACAATACAAAAGAAATGTGGAAAACCTTAAACAATTATCAGGCAAATCTACAAACCACCAGACTTATTATATTCAAAGATGAACGCAATTTAAAAATAGCTGAGGTTTTCAAAATAATGCTCATTGATATTGTCAAATCTTCTCCAGAAAATTGCTCAAACTTATCAACAAGAAGAATGAAAAAAGGTTTAAAAATACTCTGAGTTTATTAATTTATTGCTGCAAATTAAATCACAAGAAGATTAAAAAAGGTTAACTCGAGGTTATTGACATGCATTCATCCAAAAAATAAATCCCCTTTTGAGATACCTCAAATTACCCAGCCAGTTACAGAAATAGGGGGTGTAACAATAACAGCAAAAACCGTATTGGGCAAATATATTGCCATTTTGCTGAAGCGTATTGCAATATTTGCAATACGTATTGGGTTGTGTATGTTTTGTTGTAAAGATGGAGTACCATTTATATATTATTATTTATGTAATATATTTTTTAGTCAAAGAAACTTAAAAATTTAAAAAGGAATAAATAGAAAGTAGTGTCACACAATTTTTGCATTAAAACAAAACTAGTCGCGTGTGACCTTCACATCTGGGCCCTGCTTATGTAAATTATGCCGGCCATGGCTTATTGACTTTTAAGTGTACTAATTTCGGATACTTTGATCTTCCGTGCGCCAACAAAATTTGCCAATTAAAGATTTTATGTGAAAATTTGTAACAAATTTATGGTGGCCATATTCTGCCCACCAGAATAACCTGATAACTTACTATTAATTAAGAGGTTCCTAGTTATGTAAACTAGTTTAACCTGTTAAATTAAGAGGTTAACTAGTTTACGTAAACTAGGTTAACCTAATACCTAACTAGTTAATTTAAGAGGTTAAAAACTAGTTACGTAAACTAGTTAAACCTGATAATTTACTAGTTAATTAAGAGGTTAACCTAGTTACGTACCTAGTTAACCTGATACCTAAACCAGTTTAATTAAGAGGGTAACTATATTTAAAATTAACCCAAAGTTGTTTTTTTGTTTGTATCATTTTAACCCCAAAGGTGCTAACCACCCGTTTCCGGAGAGTTACACCATATAGCAAACCTTTCCTCCCCCGCTAAAACCCCCAAAAGCATCCCCCGGGGATCGAACCCACCCCAAGAGGGGTAACGGGTTTAAAGAAGTATCGACTCAAATCCCTAAATAATTAACATTTAGTTATAGGTTATCGGGTGGCAAAAATATGCACCATAAAAATTAAAAGGGGAAATTTAATGAAAATTTGTTTTTTTATAAAATCCGGGTTTAAAAAAATCTACCGCGGTCAAAATTTTTTTTTTCATTTTGAAATTATCGGTATTCCGGGAAAAAAAGGGAAACACCCCTTTCCCCCAAGGGAAAATTTAAGGGTACCGCGTGAAATTTTGAGGCACCAAAATTTAAAAAAAGGGCAAAAATTTTTTGGGATTTTTTCTCTTTAATTTGGGTTAAGTGATTTCCCACTGGAATTCCCTTAACTTTCAAAATTTTTAAAAAATTTTTTTCAAATTAAATTAATTCCCAAATTTTTGGAAAGAAAATTATCACCTAAAATAGAAAAAAAAATTATGTTCAAAAATTTTTTTGGGGGGAACTAAACGTCATTTTTTAATAAAATTTGAGGCATTTTTTAAACGTAAACGTCTAAAAAACAATAAAAATTTTTAAAACTAACGAAAAAATCGTACCCATTGTTGCGGGTCGAATTCTGCCAAGAAAAAACTTTATCAATCATAAATAGTTACTTTCCCCTTTCGTAAACTTCTTTTAAATTTTTCCGGGATCTTGTACGGTTTGGGGTGACGTAAGATTTTAGCTGCCCCCTGATTTGGGGAAATCCCCCTTTTGGGGTGGTGCTTACTTTTTAAAGCCAATCAGATTGCATTTATCATTACCCGAATTTTCAAACTGCGGAGAGAAATGCGAGCCTGTTGTTTACAATATTTTCCACGCAATAATGTATAATATTAGCGTTTTTTTGTAAAACTTTTGTATTGTATTATCAATCAAGATATAAGCATTATTAAAGAAACAGGTAAATCATCTTTTGTCCACCATCTTTTTATTTGTGCGTAAAATTTTTGTAAATTTTCTCGTTGCAATTTACAATCTGCAGACTTTTGGATTTTTTTTTCGAAAGTCAAAAGACTTTATCGCCTGTAAAACTAATTTTTACCAAATCAAATGTTGGTTCAACTTACTATGTTTTAACAAAAAATGATATACTTTTTTGGTACACAAAAAACTAAAATGTAGCATAGTTACTAATTTTCGCGACCCCCTTTTTTTCTTAATAATTTTGTTTTTTTTCTCAGAAAAAAAAAGTTTAAAAACAGCCAAAAAAGAACAAGAACCCGTGGCAGGTGAAAATTCCTAAAAAGGGTAAACCCGGGTTTAAAAAATGCTATTTTAACAAAGGGGGTGTGGTAAAACCCCCAAGGGGATGCCTTTAAAATCCCCCCCACAAAAGCGAAAAGGGGGCTTTTGGAGATTTTAACAAATGTAAGACTGTTGTCTACTTACTTAATACTTGGCAATTTTCTTGCCTTTATTATTTTAAATGAAAAAATATATTCAGAAATGGATTCACCCCACTGACTGTCACCACTTGCACCACTGTAGTGATGATTCTCCCAACTTTAAAAAAAATCATTTAAAATGTACTTTATTTTATCAAAATTAAGAAATGATAAAATTAAATGTTTGTTTTGCTATCAGTGATTTCTCCCTTGTATTTACAGCCAAATATTTTTCCCTGAAATTCTCTGGGAATATCCTTCATCAGAACCATGTTTTAACAACAGCTGACTTATTACAGCTAGTTGATAAATTTAATTGACTGAAACTCATCCTCCAGTATTTACTGCTGCTTCAGTTAAAATCAGTTCAAAACATTTTTTTTTTATTATTTCAATAAGTTTAACATCCATTTAGTCTATTAATCACTGCAAATGGGTTAATTTCTTTCAAAATTTTTAAAATGATAATTTCTTTTTTTACAGGGATTGGGTTTATAAATAAATATCCCAAAATTGCTTTTTAAAAAAGTCCAAATTACCATCCCACTCCCCCAAAACCCAACTCTTCCCCGTACAAAGTTTAAAAACAATTTAAAAATTTTAAAGAAGGAAAAAAAAACAGAAAACACCCAAAATCTGCATCAAATGAAAAAATTTACAATGAAGTGTGCCTCAAATGGTTTTTTCACAAAAATCTAGTTGTACAGTAACCAGCAAATTCCAGGGGTTCCCCCTCTCAAGTGC